CTGCACGAAGCGCTGCAAATCGCTGCAATTGCTACACGAAGTGCTGCAAATCGCTGCAATTGCTTGCATGAAGCACTGCAAATCGCTGCAATTGCTTGCACGAAGTGCTGCAAGATGCTGCAATTGCTTGCACAAAGCGCTACAAGTCACTACAATTGCTGCACCAAGCGCTTCTTGCAACCAAGCATCGCAAGAAGCAACCCAAAAGCAAAGCCATTTCCTGCCCYGCACAGGGAGGAGATTAATACCCGTCCCAGGAACCTGATTTTTCAATTCATTTCATCTCAGAGAGTATGAAGGCTGTTYCAATGCCGCTGATGCCCAAGTCACACGGCATCCAGTCTCCTCTCTGGCRTATTGGGAACACACGACTTTCCCTTAGCCTCATTTCCCCCAGATTCCCGGCCTGATCCACATAAACTTGGAAGAAAAATGGGTGCTGGCTCCTTATGCAACGCCGCRGCACCATGTCTGCGCTTTATAAATGGCAAAGCCACGGAGAAATGGGTTGAAAAAGAGAGCAAAGTTGACACTGTGTAAAAATACCCAGCGCCTTAATTACCGCACCTCGCTCTGCGATTCCTTTTCATGTGCTTTTCCTTGTCGAGATGAAACGCTGCTCCTTGAATAATTAACACACGACATCGGAGCCCGGTCCTGCGGCTCCGTTCCCACCTCCCGATCCCTCCGACTGCCCCCGGCAGGAAGCCACGCTTAGTTTTCCTGCGGGAAACCGTATGGAGCCGCTAACTTTCCCCATGACCTTATCCACTGCCAGGCGTTTTGCACCTCTGCTCTGCTGGGGACGGTGCCCGGGTTTCGTTTCTGCCCCTTTGCGGGGACATGCAGCAGCCCAGAGGCCCTGCGAATGGTCGCCCGCCCAGCTCCGACATCCTGGGGTCAACCTGACATTAGCAGGAGCATCCAGCATCCTCAAAATGCCCTCAGAGAGGCAGGGATGAGAGCTGGCTTCCCTGCGGATTCACACGTGGAAGTCGCCGCACTATAAAGATTAAATCCTTCAATCCCCCGTTCTCCTTAAAGCAAAAGCAAAGCCAGGGAGCACGGGCATGAAGGTCAAGGCTCTTGTTTCCCGGCAGCGCGCTGTTTTCCAGCTGGCGCTGGGAATGCTGATGGGATGCGAGGTGACAGCAGACGCTGGGGACAGCGGGAGGGACCCGTGAGAGTTGGCGGGGACAGAGCCGCTTGGGGGAGCAGGTCAACCCGGCACAGCCCATTCCAGGGAAAAGCACCRCGGGAGCTCGAGGAGACCCCCGATAAAATATATAGCCCGCTTAAGCATACAAGGGATCACAGAGGTAAGCTCGGTCTGAGGGATTCATCACGTTGCATCTCTTCTGGCTGCAGCAGGAGCCACCACAGCGGCGGCTCTTTCCCTATGGTGGGAGGCGAATCCGACACGGGAATCGCAAGGGACAATGTCCCCTCTAACCTTAAATCCAGCAGCCTCGGTTTGCCTGAAACCCCCCCAATTTAGTGCTCTTTTGCACTCAGGAGGCTGCAGCCGCGGGGGAGCTGGGTTATAAGCGCTAATGCAAACAGCGGGCAACCCAACAGCCTCACGGCGCCGGGCGCGTCTCCCACGGGATCGACGCCGGAGCAGCCGCTTGGCCCCGTGCGCCGCCCTGCTGCAGCGCCACGGCCCCCGGAGAACCCTTGGTTGGGCAAAAAAGAGCAAAATGCCATTGAATGCCATGCCCTGGCATCGCCCAGGCAAGGGGCGAGCATCTCCCGAGCCCCGATGCCGCCAAAGGAGGGGGATATTTTGTGCATCCGCATCCCCACAGTCTGCAAAGCCTARAAAAAAGCCCTCAACCCCGTCACTGCCATCCACACGCGGAGCCCAAGCCCCCTTATTCAATTATAGCTGGGATTTATGCACATCTCATTAGCTATAAAATACACAATTTATATTTGGAGCCTTCCTGGTCTCGAGCTGCGGGAAGCRCCATAGAGGAGACTGGGGACCGGGCCCAAAGCGGAGGGCGCTGGATGCAAAATGAGGCTGAAAATCGGGATAATCGTCACCTACCTGGGGTCTTGAGCGTGGGCTGCTCCCCCAGCAAGAGTTTTAGCCTTTTTGCATGGATTTTGCCTTGGTAATGCGAGTCGGCCACCACCGCCGAGGTGAAGGACATGTTGCACAGGGTGCAGCACTTGTTCTTGTCCACCGAGTTGCCATCGCTGCCCTGTGGGAGGCAAAAAAAACCATAAAAATACGGGTGGATGAAGCCCCCATGGGCACCGGCACGTGCCAGGGCCTGCCTTCTTCCCGTGGTTTCACCCCGGAGAAGGGAGAATGTTCCTGCGCTGCCCTGGGATGCTCCAGTGGGGCTGGAATGGAGCGCGGAGCTGGGATGCTGCAGCAGGGCCGGGATGCTGCTGTGGCCCCGGGGTGCTGCAGCGGAGCTGGGGTGCTGTTGTGGAATGGGGTGCTGTTACGGAATGGGATGCTCTTATGGAATGGGATGCTCTT